TATATAAATGTTTGTTATATTATTGTTTATTACAGTTGTATCCAGAGCTTTAAATATATACACATATATATATACACACACACAACAGCAGTCTTGAACATTCTACACATTACTAGACATTATGATGCAACAACACTCAATCAGAGCAACAAGAAAATTCAGAAGATTTGAGTAACAATTTTATCACAGACCTTTCAGCCATTAATTAAGTTGCAGGCTCAAAAGCAATCTGGAAAAAGCCCAAAACATCACACACTTGAAAAACCAACAGAAGAAAAACAAATCAAAGCAGCTTATCCCAAAGTAGCCTACTCTTTGTTTGTCATAAGTCATTTAAAGACCATGGTAAAGCAAGTTGTTTTATTACAAAATCAACTAGATAACACAATAATGTTCAAAGTATCTCCTAACAAATGTAATACTGGGACACCTGTCAGTGACACTTTGTCGACAAAAAGTGATAAAATTATCTGAATGAGAGGCTTATATACAGTATCAAGATAGGGGTGCATTGACACAAGTGGAGAGTATCACAAGATTGTTATCACCAATGGCAGTTGGGTGGGGTATAAAATACTGGAACAAGTAAGAAAAAATTAGACTAATGTTTTGATGGGCAAATAAGAAACCTGGCAGTCAAATAATAGCTATAAGTGGCAGTGGAGGTAAGTATGTTTTAAAAATTAAAATTTGTGCTGTTACTTAAGTAGTTCAGCACTTACTGAGGAAAAAGCTGGATTCTCTTGCTTATCATAGACCTACCATATTTTCCATAAAAACTGCAAACACTGGGTTGTATACTGTACAGAGTTCTCACCACACAGGTAGATTGTTGGAGTGACTTTCTCAAAACACTAGATGACTTTTCACATCTGAAAATTTAATCAGCTACTCAAAAACCAAGGGGTTACATAGTCCATTTAATCGCATGATTATCCTGTCAATAATCGAGTAATAACATAGTACACACCTTGCATCTCTGTACCACTCAATAGCTTGAAAAACAAGGAATACCTCTTCCACTCAATCCATTGTCATCAATATCAGAAACAGCCCCAAATACCAATAATTGAGTAGCAGCCATAAAATGTAGTTTATAATGTTGCCATTTTACTGCTCAATAGCTCAGTAAGCAAGGAATGTTATTTCCCTTCAATCATCAGACTCTTGACTTAATGATCATCTCAGATGTCAATAATCAGGTAGAAATCACAAAATGTAATGTATACATTACAGCGTGCATCATCTGGTAGATTGAAAAACTAAGAACTCCACTTCTTTTGCATCATTGCATGCTTAACCTTATAATTATTCTAGCTTTGATGATCAAGCCC